CGGATGCCAGCACCCGTGGCACTGGGCGTGCGGACTGCCATCTCCACCAATCGAACAAGGCACAGGCTCTGAATGTTGTAGTACCTCACAGAGGACAGTCGGGAGCGGAGCTACGCGGAGCAGCCGGGTCGGCTTTCCTACGCTTTCTCCGTCGCTTCTCGATCTCTGAAACTCCAGAAGGCAATGTGGAGAGGAATGGTCCAAGTTGCGCATCATCGCGGAAAATGAAGTCCAGCACAGAGGGCATCATGGCAATCACGTCGATCCAGGCGTAGGCATTGATGAGCAGTGCAATGAACGGAGCTGCACTTCCTTGGCAGTGGTTGCGAAAACTGCTCCAACCAGCTTTCTTCCAATTAAATGGCCAGCAGACGCTTATGCAACAAGGATCACGAAGAAGACCGTCCCCTGCTATGACGTGAAATGTGAAACTGTCACAGAGAAGAGATTGGCCGGTGTCCTTGATGAGGCATGCCACGGCCAAGACCAAGCAAAAGAATGATCCGAAAGCCGCACCCCAGCAGCCGAGCAGCGATAAGCTTTCCACCAGGGGTGAGCTGGGGCCGACAGGTCTCGCAACAGCAAACCTAAGAGCACTTGCTGCTCGGCGAAACCTGTAAACCTGGGGCCGAACCCGTAAACCTAGGCCTTGCGGCTATACGTTACGTTGGACGTCTCCAACCTCGAACCCACTCACAATGGCGTCGCAACTACAGCCCCATAGGCCCTGTCGCCGCTCTGTTGCCCCCTCATCCTGCCCTGGAGCTCGTCGATAAGACAACCACACCGACCTTCTGCAGGATGGCCTGGGAGCATTGCAAGGGCTCGAAAGCTCATTTCAACCGACTTCAGTCGACTGTGCTTCGACCTTGTGAATTTGAACGACATCATCCTGCAGAATCCTGGATGTCGGTACGATACGGGATGGTAGAAGCGACCAACATTCCCTCTAAGAGGCGGCTCCGCAAGTTTCGGCTGAGTCTCATTGGTTCCTGGAACCCAGGTCTTCAGCTTGCGCTTGAAGCCGAAGCCGCTCGTGGCCTCTCGAGACTTCTTCTCCGGAGTGCTGTTGGATACGATGGTTCTCAACCAAGGATTGGCACAGGTCACAGGTTAGTCCGATGCATCTTAGAAGCTAGCATGTGTGCTTCGGTCGCAAAGGGAGGTCTCCACAGTCTCCAACAACAACGACGCAGGCGCTCCCATCCATGATGTCCGTGACGAATTTCTCTAGTCGATGCGAGGGAGAGTCGACAACCCGGCCTCCTCGTCATACTCCATCTCCGTCTTAGCAGCAAAGACCACGAAGTTAGCGAGCCCTGTCAAAATGACCAAAGGATCCTTGGGCGCTGATCAGTGTACAGGTACACAGGCATAGCAAAAACCATTGCGACCTGCGACAGTCAGCTGCACGCAGGCAATTGCATGTCAATGCCTTTTTGCCATCGAGCCTCCATTATGTGGCAGTCAAACCAGTAGGCGCCCTGAGCTAGTGCAGAAGGCTCCACAATGCCGTCGTCAACGTCCTTCGAGGAATCGCCTGATGTAGACCGCCAACCCGCTGCTTAAAGTCTGAGAGCTTCTTCCATCTGTGCATGCCCCACGTCAGCCAGAGAAGTGCCCCAGGCTAAGTGCAATGCTGCTTGCAGAGAAGGCACTCAGCTGCGAGATGACACTCATGAACGAAATCAACATCATGCACAGAACAATGAAGAGGATGAGCCTCGGCGACAACGGCTGTCGTAGCATCAGCAAGGACAAGGTCCTGCCTTCCGTCCAAGTCTTCTGAACTGATGAGCCCCGATCGGCTCCATAATTCTGATTCAGCGTCGCCAACTAACTGCTACAAAGTTGCACCAGCCAGAATCTGTAAGAAAGAAATGGCACGGTCGGCTTATGCCCTGCCAAGGACCCTCCACGGCTCTCGTGTCTTGAGATCCCGGCCAGCCGATCTCCAAGAGCAACTTGTCCATGAAGGTCATCTCCCAAGGCTCATCACCTACCAGTAGAAGCGCAGGAGGAAAGCGCATAAAACTCCCGTTGCAATTGTCCCGGCCTTCTTCTTCGCCCTCCTCAGCCTCACTTGCCTCACCTTCGGCCTCGCCTTCCTCCTTCTCTTCCTCTTGCTCTTCGTCGTCGTCCTGCAGGCATCATATCGCCATGGCTCGACTTTGGCACAGCATATCGCTCACATTGGCAGCCACTGCGTCTCCTCCCCCTTCTGCGTCTTTTTGCGTTCATCCTTCAGCTTCCCATGTCCATGCTGTGGTTGGATTTTGCCATGTGGATGCCTGTAATGGGGCTGGCCATAGCCTCAGCAAAACTGAAGAGATGCCCAACACCGTGGCGCATCGCAGTGGCCAGCTTATGCAGCTGAGAAGCGGTGCTCGTTGCCTGAGCTGGACGTACAATACAACTTGCTAGCAACACCAATCGGTTGCTCGCTGAGTGAGAAGCGGCACTACAGATGCCTCTACTCCGGCAACTTGGGCCCATCAAAGGCCTCTAAAATGTCGGAAAGAAAAAAACGCCGAAGGCTTGCAAATCGGCCAGGCAGCCGTGCGCGTGTTGGTGTGTTGCTTGCTTTGGTTCCTGAAGGAAGGGTAGCATGTCGGCTATATGTTTCATCTCCCCAAAGTGTATCCCAAGAGACTCAAGAGTCGCGCCTGGTTTTGGTTGTCGCCCATGTTGAAGCTATCACGTCCCCTCTGTATATCATCCACTGTAACCTCGCCAGGCCTCAGCAACGCCAAGCGAAGATGAGCACGGACGTTGGCGTGCTTGTCACCATGCATGTTCACTTGGGTGTGGCATCTAGCGAACACCACATACACCACCAGCCGAGCAGTTCATGACGCCAGCTAAAACACTCCGGATGCCCCATTCGAGCAGGCGGCGCCCTGCCGCGCGCATAGTTGTCCGCCTCCGTGCCTGGAGGGCCGAAGTGGCAGTACAAAAAAGAGGACTAGCTTGTTTTCTTCTTCTTGAACTGGGATTTGTGGCATGGAGGAGTCACTGCAGGTCGTCACTCCAAGGTCACGGCTTGATCCAAGGCCATCGAGCGAGGAATCCTGGGGCCAAAGGGAGCTATAAGACTGTCCTGCATCATCCAATATGGGATCCAATATGCAGACGCGGAAGATTCCGGATTCGGCCAGGGTGGTGTGGTGGAGCTAGATCAAACTGCATCAGTGCCGCTAGGAGCGCAGAGCAGTCACTGCAAGTGTCGGGCCTCCACTCCAGTCCACACCGCATCCAGCTCAAGAGAGGAGTCCCTGTCACTGCATGCGCCCCCGAATCTCGGGGCTCTCTGGAATCTGATGCCTGAGGGCTGGAATCCTGCCATTATGACAATGAGTAAACACGCCGGCAGTACCGTATTGACCATGCCCGGAAAGGCAAGCAAACTAAAATCAGCACCTCGGAACCGATTCCGTGACTTCTCGCGGTGTCGTGATTTTCAAGCCGAAGTCCGCAGACCAAGTGTTGGCTGGACTGCGCTTAACCCTTGTAGGATGCCTCCCAGCCTTGAAGGCAAATTCACTCGAGACTACCGGGACTCCATGACAGGGAAAGCGACACACACCAGAATCCAACAGACCCTACAGACTCACTCGCACACGACATGGCAACATATTTTCGAAACCTACATACTTCACCTGGTTGCGTGAAAGGACATGTGGTGACTCTCACGCGACGGACCAGGACCAAAACAGTTCAGCCAAAGGCACATTGGCACCGAAGTTGAGTGTAAGCAGCATTTGATCAAACAACCTTCATGATGTTGAGGACTTGAGCCGATCAAAGTTTGCAACAGGCAAGGCCGGGCGATGAGTGGACATCCGGGCCATGCTACTGGTGAGCGAAGATCAGCAGCACATGCTACGCTACGACCTTGGATGATGACACACTGCTGCAGAGTCCAGTCGGCTACCTTCCAAGCTTGAGGTAGCAGGCAGCACGGCACGTTCGGTAGACCACACAGTCCTGATCGAAGCAAGAAACTCTGACACTTCAGAGTGTCGAGAAAGGAAATCCGGGCTCTGCAACACTGACACTTGCAGCATTACCGCCTCCAGCGTCACTGCCATCGTGTAATTCTTTAACGCCTCCTCGTACTCTTCGTTGACATAGTGCACCTGCTCGACTGCTGCTGCAAGAAACCTGCTGAGGGACCATGCGAACGATGAAAATGAGGTTGCTCGCATAATATCTTAAGACTTACCAAACAACAGCCGGCGCGCATTGGCATTGCCGAAGAGTGCCGCCGGATCCATTGCTGAACGCTCAGCAAGGGGAGGGGCCCCCGTGCCCTCACTCCACTCGGGAGTCCACACGCTTGCGGGCCGACAGTTCAGCATTTTCAGCCTCCGACGATGAAGCCCAAACAAACATGTCAAGTACTGTTTGCATGTGGTTTCATCTCCGTTGCTTTCGGAAGACTGCCCGAGCAATCCTACCTACCAACCTGCCTGGGACCCGCGAAGCTGTCTTTCACCGCTCGCCCGAACTCTAGACAAAAGCCTAGATTGATTGATGTTGGCCTCCCATTTCCTGTCGTTTAGGTGGAACCACCACCGAGAACACAGTACAACTGATGTACAACTGCAGACGTGACACTTGGCTTCTCAGGACTCACACAAGCATTTTCTTCTGGTGGTGCTAACTTGAGGTCCATATGTACACTCTGCCGATTCGGCGGAAGTCGGGAATACCTCCGGTCAAGTATGCAAGAAGTGAAAGAGTCACATGCCACCGTCGCAGGCATCCCTGGGTAAGTCAGCCTGTCCCTGTCCAGCCAGGCCCGCATCGCCAAATTCAAGTGGACCGAACTGCTCTTTTGTTGAAGTGCAGCAACGCGCGGGAGCTTCAGAAGGGACACGCAAGGACATGCTGTCAAATTGGTGCTACTCCAGATGGGTAAATACATAAAAGCGAAAGCATGTCCAGAGTCGTTAACTCTGTGCATGTGATGCGCACAAATCCGGCGGCCCCGCATCTCAGACCATGTCCAGGGCTGCAGTGCGGGGAGGCCCTGGGAGCTATGCCGGGGCTCTCCCCCGGAGCCCTCCTTCACAACGACGAGCCTCGGCTGCTCTTCCGGGGCGGCCGCAGCGCGCCTGCGGTGAGGTCCCGGGTCTCTCCTGCCACGTGTTTCCCGGCACCTCGGCCTCTCTCAAGGCAACAGGCCGCCTTGAAGGTGGTCTAGGTAACGCGGCCGAACACCGCGGAAGCTGTGCATCTTCCTGTGCGCGAGGGTGGGTAACTGCCAACTAGCAACTCCAATCGCAGGAGCTCTGACTCACTGAGCTCTGGTGCAACAAGCATTTGGGGGGGAGCAGGCGAGTGGAGGTGGTACTTCTGCCATCAGGATCTGGTTGTTGCAGCTTTCAAAGCTCATAGACTCATAGACTGCAAATCTGAAATGTAACAAGTGCACAAAATGCAGCCCATGTCGTGCCCTCCGGCTGTGGTTTCCGCTGGTGCGGCCTGAGTTGCAGCTGTAGGATGGATACACGGTGCCGTCGAAGACTGCCTCGCAGAAGAAAGCCCTGAGCTGCAGGCTGCTTCTCTCGGCGGCAAAGCCTGAGCCAGGTTCCTGAGGGCAGCCCGCATTCTCACCCTCGCCCGCCCCACCCTGACTATTTAGCGACTCCAACCTGTAGCAGCAAAGTGGAAATGTTAACACCATGACGGCATTTCTCGACCACTCCAATTTTTCGCCATGGCACGATGACTTCGCACGACGGTCTGAGGCGGTCTTCACCTTGCACGGTTCACAGCAGGCAGGGCTCAGAATCTCGATAACAACGGGGCCAACGCCTCACGCGGCGAACGCGAAATAGCTCCTGCACCAGGAGATGCATGGCGGACACTTTGCCTCAGCTTCTGCACGAGATCAAGTTCGCATCATGCCCAGGGACTATTGAAATCTGAGACCTCGACAACACCGCGCTGGCACCCAAGGACAGCCTCAACATCATCTGACTCTGGGGAGTCCCAACTATCACCACAGGTGCAAGACAATGGGTGTGAGAACAAGCCCTCACTTTGATGCGAACCAGACATGCTGAGAGGTCCATATCCCAGAGCTCTTACTGTACCGAGCCTCCGATCCTCCGGCGAGCCACATCCCTCCAACCTCCATCTGTGAACCGCTGCCCGCAGAAGCAGAACCAACTCAATAACATCATAAACAACAACCAAAGCCTGCAGCTGAAATTGACAGCGATTTGTTAGTAGAACTTATGATCTTGGAGGCAAGTTTCGAGCGGGCTGTCGCTCGAAAGCTCCGCATAGATGTTGCCCTGGCCCACCAGTCCAGTCCGATTTTTTGATGCTCCGCTCTCCAGAGCAGGCGCGAAACGATGCTGCATGTTAAAGCGTATTACGGGGCCACTTGCCGAAGCCTGGGACCACCCTGGCAGCGTGGCTCATCACGCCGTTGGTCCTCGATTTCTCGCCGCTTGGCTGCTCAGCTGAGCCACACTAAACCAGCCAATCGGCCGCCTGACGTCGTGGCCGCGGTGGGCGGCGGGGAGCGCTTGGTCGAAGTGCGTCCTGGAGGGTGGAGCAGCGCACACAATCTGAAACATGCAGCAGACGAAACGGAAGCTAATTCAGCGTCCTCAGACTGCGATCCACTGAGCACAGCCTGGCAGTACAATGCTGTTCACTCTCGGCTCCACCCAGCACTCTGTAGACTTCAAAAAATCCTGACAATGTCTTGGAAAAACTGGCATGCAATACCTTCATGAGCTTGAGACGGTCTCTTCCTCTCGAGGAGACACAAACAAGGTGCCTTCGGGCTGGAAATGGTAGAGCTGGCAGTCTCCACACAGTCACTGTCCGTGCGCACGGTTTTCCTCAGGTTGCACATGTTTAAAGGGAAGGAGCAGTTGCGACGATTTCGGCAAGGGGTAACGCAACAATACCAGGTTTCCGTGTGCAAAGTTCCAAGTGTTGCCTACACGGAAGGCACAGAAATGCCACGATACCGTCAACCGTCATGACGAACATCTTTGAATCAAACGAGGTCTCTCTCCAGTGCCTTCAGCAGCATGATTTCATCAGTCTCTCTAGCTTTTCAACAGAGGCAAAAGCAAAAATGTATTATGAACATGAACCATTGAACCGAAGGCCTCATCTATCATCTCCGGCTGCTGGCTCTGGCCGGCTGAAACTTTTGTGCTAACCGCCTGGGTCTCAGCTAGAATTCCCAAGTCCATCCCAGTAATGTGGTACAGTACTGTGTTTTGTTAATATAATGTGTGTCTTTCTTTGTTCGGTTTTGTGAATTTTCGGACAAAGTCGTTAATGCCCTTTTCTGCCCGGCAGAGTTGTGTTTGTTTTCCTTTCTGCTAATGGTCAATCTCGGGCAGCCATAAAAAACCATAAAAATCTACACCCTCTCTCTCTCTCTCTCACACGGACTCAGTCACCTGTCAGCCGCGACGCACAACATAGCGATTTCGCTATGCACGCCTATCTACAAAATACAAGAATGCGAGAGCTGTCGGATTACCGAAGCTACAAGTACTTCACATAAATCCAAACCCTGTGCTCCAAAAAACCTGAAGCCCTAGTTGACCTAGAGCCCGAAGCTTCGAAACCCTACAAGAAGGTATATTAATCATTGTACTTAGTTACACTAACCCGACCCTCAACAGGCTCAAGTCGACAACTCAAGAACTAGCTGAGCCCACCCAGACCCCAAACCCCTCGGACCCCCCAAAACCCTTCTCATTTAGTCAAGCCCCAGACCCCAAGCCACCCCCAAAACCCTCACACCCCCACCAAACCCTTCAAAGCTAGTCAAGCCCACCCAGACCCCAAGCCAACCCAAGCCCCCAAATCTACCGAACCAAGGTCAAGGGGGTCACGGGCAAAATACTATTCATGCCGGGGACGAATGGTGGGGGGGAGCACAGTACCACATTACTCAGACTCAATCCTGCCAGGCTTGATTGCATGTGCAGAGTCGGGCTCAGGGAGAATGGCGAAGTTGGAGATGCCTGCAGGCCGAGTGTCATGCAAACGGTGCTGGGAACGCTGCATTGCAAACTGCACTCCAATGACACGATTCGCACAGGTCCCCTGACATCCACACCTCGGCGGAGGGCTTCGGATAGCCTACAGGGCACAGGACAGATGCACAACGATGTTGCCTATAAAGTTGGAGGCAATGCCCCAAGATCACTTTATCATCTCTGCACAAGCTGCTCCAGCGAGCTTCGGGACCCAGCCTTTCTGGGGAGACTCGCTTGAAGCGAGGAGAGCCTGCGAGCGAGCCACAATCTCTGACGACATGTACAGTCGCAGTCAACGGCCAAAAGCTGAGTAGCAAATTACCACTCCGCAAGCTTAAGACATGCCGGGCAAAGGTCTTCCATGCTCCGTAGACCCTGTTTGCCTGCAGCGCTTTCGTCGCAGCAACATCGACGGTGTCACCGTCGGGCTCGGGGGAGACGACACCTCGATGCGGCAGCAAGTCCGCTCGAGCCCGAGCATCCAATCCAGCAACAGTCGACATGCCCAATGTCGACAGAGAAGCTTTGGGCAAAACTCCTCCTTGTTTCATAGCTTGCTGGGCCACCGGCGCTTTCGCCAGTCATCCTCCGCTCCCGACGGGTTCACCTGACCATGACGTCCAGGTGATGCGCCTTCTACAGCATTCGGTGCATTCTCCGGCCTGGTCCTTTACTGAACTCTTTCTCCTGCGGGAGGTCTTCTCTGCAGTCGACCTGTCGGACAAACATGCGATTGTCGGTAATGCCTCGACCTATATTCCGTCGGACTTGGTGAATGTGAATGTGTCTCTCTGGTTCTCTGTGGCTGAAACGACGGCCCGAGAAATTAGCGGACATCGTTCAACATCTTTCAATAGCCGTTCTGGTGCCCGGGCAAGAGCTTCCAAATCTCATCGCTCGTCCAGTTGTCCTCCCAGTATTCAAGGAGCAGCAAGGTAGCACGACACGGTGCCTCTCCACCCATTTCGGATTGGCTCGTGGTCAAGTTGGACCCTCGCTGCGTGCGTAATACAGACGAGCCTCACCTCAGCCCTGCTTCCTGGTGCTTAGTCCTTCGCTGCTTCCAAGGCTTGCAGTAAGTACTTGGACACCTCGCAAGGGGCGAAGAAGCTTCATGGCATCGAAGATGACGTTGCACATCTTTCTGACCGGAACTTGCAGCAAAGGTCTTCCTGTACACTGTACAATAAGCATTCAGACCCGCCTATGCAAGCCACAGAACTCTACCAAGGAGTTGTCTGCCAGCCTATGAAGATTGAACCATGCTAGAAAAGGGCACCGAAAGACTTGGAGTCAAACGCATTCAAGAATTCAGGCCGAGAGCTCTCCCGGCCAAGCCGAAGCTCATACTCTGCCAGCACCCGCATGTACTTCGGTCGGATGCAAGGCCTCTGCGTCCGAACAAGCTGCAATGCATCCGCCAGTGACATCTCCTCAATGGCCATAAGGAGGGCCATGACCACAACTGCAGAGCGGTTGCAACCCAGCGCGCAGAAGACGTAGATGGGACGGCCATCCTCTCTCCGCGCATCGCGAGCAAACTGGACAGCTCTGTCCAAAGCTTTGGGCCAGTCCGGCTCACTGCCCTTGTCGTCCAAGTTTAAAACTAGGCGCCTTTCGACAGAGAAGGTCTCACGCAGCGCGGGAGTCACATTGCGTTCGAGGGCCGCACATATCATGTGGCCAGCCTCCTGCAATGGGAGCGATGGTTCGCGCAGAGCTCCCCCGAGCCAAATCCAGGAGTTGATGTTGCTGACGACCTCTGTTTGGGACTGCTTGTACTCCTCCTTGGCAGCACGGCACTCGTCCACGAATGCCTGCAATCTGGGGTCCGTGATTTCTGGCGGGTCTTTCGCTGCTCGAATGCAGGTCTTGCAGCGGGCTTCTTTGCCTTTCCTCCATTGCGATCCAGAAAAGCACTCGCGAGTCAGCACTTCGGCGCAAGACGCACATTCCACCGACTCCTCTGCATGCTCCATCTTCTCGGAAGCAAGAATTCCGTCTAGCTGGCCCTAATCTGACGTTTGATCAGCCTATCAAGCTAGACTTCAGTCTGGTGTTGTGCATGTTTATCCTTTCCTGAGCCAATGCTGCATGTTCTATCTGAATGTCACACTGGAACTTTGCAACTTGGGCATTTGAGCAGACTCTTAGCCAGAATCCTAGCCGGCTGGCATTTAATGTTTTTAATGTGACTCGTGCTCTCTGGGGCGTCGGCAGTCTCATCAACGCGGCAGCGCTGAAGCATCTCCTACTCGAGGCTTACAGCTTCGTGCTTGCATGCGATGTTCGAGGCGGCCCATGTCGAGACAATGAAATCACATGTTGAGGAACACTGTCTGGCCGCTTCCTCAAACTCCTCCTTGCTCACCTTGCCCCCAGCCTAAAACATGCAAAGGCGAATGCACAAACGCAGAGGCATGAGGCACCGACGATGGCTGCAGTTCATTTTCGGCGGCCTCGCAAATCAGCTTCTCCAGGCGGTGCCACATGGATCCCGCCCTCCAGCGAAGCACGGCTTTTCCGAGGCTTTCGGGGTGGGGCGTGCTGGCATTTCTCGAAGGACTATCGGAATGGCAGTGTGTTACCGTTTATTCATCAGACCTAGCAAAGATTATGACACCCCTCGGTCTCTCCGTTGATAAGACCTGTCCGCTTTGTTGCAAGCCTGATCTTACCTCGACTGTGAAGTCTGACCTGGATGTCATGCCTACATACACTGCCCAGGTCCAGGCTAAGTGCGACCGAGGGACAACGCTCCATGAACCAAAGCCTTCTTGATCCCACTGGCCGCGGGATCGCCAGCGGTCTGCTGGCGGTCCATCCTGAGCAGGGCACTTGTACAGGTCATCTCCAAGGCATCCTCAACGCAGGTGGCTGGAAATCCTGTCTGTCAAGTGTCTTCTTTAAAACCTCAAGTGGCTCTGCTCCAGCGGCCACGAGAACGCGGACAGTGCCCAGTGTCCTCGGACGTCAGCTTACGCCCCAAACAACAGTCAAAGAGCACCTCGCATGTTGCAACCACATCACCGCAGAACATGTGCCTCACTGTGACGAAGCTCACCCCAAAGTACACACAGCACTGTGGCTGGAGCGCAACAACTCTAATTTCGCCAACTGCTGGCTCTCACAACTAACCAAATTCCTCTTCAACCTTTTTGCATCCATTCCTCTTCAACCTGAATGTAGGAATCCCGCAAGTGTTACTACACCGTTTGGGGAAAAGACGATCTGCGTGGGCTGTGGCGAGTCACTGTGAACGGCGCGTTGATGCTGCCACTGCCAGAGGGGAAAGGCCGCGGTCGTCTGCGACCTACGCTGTGATGTCAGGAACCGGCCGCAACTTGTGTTCTGCTCTACGAACCAACTATGAGCCTGTAACAACATGTCGCAACTAAAAGCATTTGCGCAGGACTGCGAACGACATTTAAGTCGTACTCCCTACTTGAACTTGTCTCTTGTTGCACCTGATTAGATTGGCAGGCAGGCGGCTCTTGCTTTTCGGTGCCACTTAGCTCATTCAACGACAATAGACTTCGCTCCTGCACAGCAGCCTCGTGCAAAGTATAGCCGCTTGCCTCACAGACTTACAGCGTCTTCGTCGCTGTAGACTCGTAGGCAATTAGAGGCTCGCATTCGGACTTCGAAAAGCCGGGGTTTGCAATGCCACACCACGTGAGAATCTCCGTGACCAGCACAGTTCCACCAAGGACAAAGAGCATGGCACTTGCATCACTCGCTGCTGCGTGGAGGCCCACAATGGATAGCAGGGAGCTCAGAAAATACTGGGCGCATAGGTCAAGGCTGGTGGCAGTGCCAGCAATGTCCTCAAGGTCCCTGCTAAACTCGGCATGGTATGCAATGATAGGTGGAAAGACGACGAACTGCAGGAAACAGATGCTTGAAAGATACCAGACAATATTGTCCGATATGCCGGCTACAATCAGTGCCGATGCAGAAAACACCATCAATGGTGTAAACAAACGCAGCACATCCGTGGGCTCCTGGTGCAGCTGACCTGCCACGACAGAGCCCAAAGCACATGCCGTGGCGAACATTGCAGTAAAGCCTGCCGTCTGCTTGAGCGTTTGGCCAAATTGCTTTTCCAATATGTAACCATTCGAGGAAATTACCACGTCGAACAGACTCTTTGTGGTTCCGACGCATACAAGAATTAGCAGCCGTCTTCGACAGCTCAGCGTGCGAGAGACGTCTTTGACCTCAACAGACACCCAAACCTGACTGCTTGCAAGCACAATCGAGAGAAACAGCGCCGAGCGGGAGGAGAGGGGAAGGGAGGGGATGGAATGGGAGAGGAGAGGCGAGGAGGGAGGGAGGGAGGGAGGGAGGGAGGGAGGGAGGGAGGGAGGGGGGGGGAGGGGGGGGGAGGGGGGGGGGGGGGGGGGGGG